AATAAAATGATTATGTGTAAAAATAAAATAAATATTTATTTCATTTAATTTTTTTTTTTAATTTAAATATCTAAAAAAAAAAAATAACAGTGACCCCTGGGTGTTTATGAGACGTTTCTTTTATAACCAGATGTTTTTGAAAAGGTATCTTTTTCGAATCATTGAAGTGGCCCTTAAAAGGGCCGTTGGATGATTTTTTTTTCTTTTAGGGTTTACTCCCTAGGTGATTCAGCAGAGTCCAGCCACCGTGGTGGTTGATCGCTGAAGGACATCCAGGGATGAGGGTTGTAGCGACACAGAGGGCAACCCAGTCTTCTGTCAATCAGTCGGGCCGAACATAAAAAGCATGCCGGTCTCTGTCTACACTGGTCGCACACATAATTACTCTCCTCGTCTTCGCAAAAGCACAAACTGCAGAAGATGGTTGATAGGGGAACCTGTACTCCCCAGGTGGGGATACACCCCTGGAATCTAGTCTGGGTCTGGGTCTGCTGGGTCTGGTGATGGTAGTGGTGGACCTCATTCACCGTGGTTGGAATGGCAGGTGAGGGTGATGGCGATTCTGGAGAATCTGGCAAGTTGAAATTTCTCCCCTCTTCCTGGGGCCTTGGATGGTAGATAGGCCTTGGTGGTGGTGGTGATGGTGGCCTTGGTGCTGGTGGTGATGGAGGTCGAGGCGGCGATGTTCTGCTCCTCCGCTCTGGCCTTACATATGACGTCCTTGATCTTCTTCTCGCTGATCTGTTCTCACTAAGTTGTACCCGCATCGTCGGACATCTTAGTACCTCTTCTCCATCAGTAATTCTTCTGACTGCATAATAACAAACAAGTTCGATCCCAGGTATTAGGTATAAATCCTCGTGGAATTCTTCAGCCATATCGTATGGGTCGCTAATAAACAGTTAAACTATGACAGTTAACAGCTGACCAGCGTCGGTATTATACACACAGCGCGACCCGAAAAGAAAGCACCTTAAAAGCCCGGATGTAAGAGAGCTCAAAAAATCATGGAGAATTCAAATTTGTGTTATTCTGTGTTTGTGAATACCTCTATTGGAGTAAAATAACATATTATGGAATGATATATCCATTCAAACCTTCTAGTGAAAGAAGGAAGGTAAGTTTTGAGGATGATTTCACAGTATTATTCATACATGACATTCCTCCGTCGTTTAGAACAGGCTCATTCATGCCGAAGCGAAGCCCTAGCCTTGAGTGACCTGAATACATAAAATAAGGAGTTTTAGACTTTTAAAAGTGTGACACAAAGAAAACTTAATGTCTATCGTAAGATCGAACCTAAGGAAAAGTGTTGATAGGGTTTTTAAATCAAAAGAATCCTTACAAGTGTAGAAATAAACTTAGCGTCGGTCTAAGCATAAACACAAGGGAGGTCAAAGGTCAGCCATTTTCAGAAAATCACTATATAGACTTGTATAGAGCCTATAAGATTCTTTTCAATCCTGATCTTTTATGATGAAAATTTTGAAATGAATACAATCGGAAACTTATAAAAATCATTTGTATTTACTTTATTTCCAATGGCAAAAGTCTAGATTTTTAATTAAGAACAAAACATCTCAGCGTTTAAATGTATAGACTTGTATAGAGCCTATACGATTCTTTTCAATCCTGATCTTTGAAGATGAAAATTTTGAGATGAATACAATCGGAAACTTATAAAAACAATTTGTTTTTACTTTATTTGCAGTGGGAAAAGTTTAGATTTTTATAAAAAGACCAAAAAACATCTCAGCGTCTAAAAATAAACACAAGATGGCGTCCTATTTTGTATAGAAATCAAAACAAAAAAGCTTAGTGTTTTTTTTCATTCTTTTTTTTTATTTTTTTTGTTTTAACAATTGTTCCAAGTGTTGAATTCTCTTTTGAAATCTTAATCGATCCGCTACTAGAGCCATTCATTCACTTTTCCGATCTTCGGGTGGTAAATCATGAATTTCATTCAAGTCTGTATTAAAAGTCACACATTTCTTACTAGGTCTGATATTTCCAGAGATTTCATTCCGTATTGAATACAGATTTTCTCCATCGTTTCTATTTCTTTCCAAAGTAGAATCACTTTGCTCCCTTCGGGATGACATAGAAAACTGTAGGGTTTTTGTAAATATTGCATCATGTTCATCCCGTACATTTTTTCGGGTAAAGTCTTTTTCATTCGTTGACATAGGAAATGAATAATCGCTAATCTCCCCACTGTCGTACGATGGGATAAAGCCAGGCATTGTAACCATAAGTCCTGAGTTGTTTCTATGATGTTGTCTGCTTTCTGAAACACTTGTTCCGCTTCGGGGGGTAATGGTTGTTCCTGTTGTTCTAGACATTGCATTAAAGTATCATAACTTTCCAACACTAAAGTGTGATAGTGTCTTAACATGATATCAATGATTTTTAAAAAAGAATGTTTTTTTATGAGCTTATTTATACCTTTTGGGTTTTTTTTCTATTTATAGAAATAAACCAATCAAGGTAAAAATAGAATAGACTTAAGTTTTTTTTGCACACAGTACTATTGCACAGGTGTTTTAAGAATCTTGAATCGGTGCCAAGATTAAGTACATGACCTGTGCAGGTGTTTTAAGAATCGGATCTCGTGGTGTTATAATTAGTAACAAAAAGGTTAAAAAAATCAAACTTGAATCGGTGCCAAAATTTGACCTGTGCAGGTGTTTTAAGAATCGAATCTCGTGCTCTAATTATAGTAACAAAGAGCTAAAAATAGTTTTTCATAAGGTATATAAACTCAGAGTTTAAGTCAGTTATAGCATCAGTCTTAAGTTACATGTAGCACATGTAGAGAATAGACATGGCAGAAGCAATGATGAATCTTAATAATCTTACAGGTCAGAATTATATTCCACCTCAGAGTACAGGGCTGGGATATGCCTTACCCACGGCACCTGATACACAAGATCCCATCGGATTGGATTTGGGACTTTATAATATGCAAGAGCCCATGACCAAAGAAGATATGAGCATCTTAACCACCACTCTGGATGGAATTATTAAAATGCTGACGGATTTAAAAGAGTACAACACCAGTGAATTTTGTTTGATAAGGGGCAAATTATCCAGATTAGAAGTTAAAGTGACTAACATCCAGGAGAAAATGAATGGTGGATTTTATCAGAAAAAAGAGAGCAGTAGCAGTAGCAGCAGCAGCACAGGAAAAAAGACAAAAGAAACAGATCCATGTTACATTTGTAAAGAGTTGGGACATTGGGCTCCAGACTGTCCCAGAAAAAAAAAACAGGATTTGTGTTACAAATGTGGAAGAATGGGACATTGGGCTAATGAGTGTCCAGAAGATGATCAACAATTAGTGAAAGAAGTACAAAAATTAGAGAAAACTCAAGAAAAGAAAAAGATTCAGGAACATCAAATTCCTACCAAAGGCACTAACAAAAGAAAACTTGAGAATACCAATGTAAAGGAGAAACTAAAATTGAAACTCCAGAAAAATAATTGACACTTTGTTGTGAATAATGGCTGTGAAACAGTAAGTTTTTTTGTTTTGTGAAAAAAAAAACCTTGTGATAGTCCTGTTATAATAGGACTGTTTCTCTGATCTTTTCCTTGTTTTGTGTGATAATGACGTCATAATGGACATACTTGAATCGCTGCCAAGACTGTGTAGGTCCTGCCTCTTAGTGAGTAAGCAAAAAAAAAATCCTTTTTGCGCAGTGATAAAAATCTGTGATTTTTCCTGTTGTAATAGGACTGTTCTCTCTGATCTTGTTTTCTTTTTATATTGTATTGTATTGTATTGGGATCAATAATAAAAGGTTTGAAATTGAAAAATTGATTGTGTATTTTTTTAAAAAAGGGTAGTTGAACCGGCTAGCCAGGACCTTGGGCGGGTGCACTCAGTTGACCCGGCCAGGGCATTTTGAGACTTTTAAAAACCCTTGATAGGGTATCCTGGATAGACTAGGCCACCCCATTTTGAGACTCCTTGAAAACGGTATCCTGGGTAGACTAGGCCAGCGCATTTTCCCACTTTTAAATACCCTTGATACGGTATCCTAGGTAGACTAGTCCAGCGCATTTGACATTTTTCTTATTTTCACCTTTTTTTTACCGGCTATAACGGCCCCTATACTCCAGGATAGCCCTGGCTATCCTGGAGTAATCTACTACTGTCCCTTCACTTATTAAGAGAATGGCTTGGGCTGGACAGCTGGGAGTGTTTGCGCCAGTTTGCATCATCGAGCCTCCATGAAAATGTAGTGGGAGAATTTAATATGCAAGAGACCCAGCTGATGACATTCTACGCCACTCGCTACAGTGAACACAAAGTCGTCCAATTTAAAATAAAGCCATTGAACCATGTAGCATGTTTCCTGCACTGGCAGGCTGTTGGTACCTTACTAAAGGGCTTGAGTATTGAACAGCAGGAAGTGTTCAGGCAGCACCAACAGCGGCTTTTGGCGAATGGGATGACCATAGATAGACCCTTCAATATTACAGGGAACCCCGTCATGGCCAGAATTGTTGATGGTCATTTCCATCTCGATCAAATCCTGCGCAGGACCAATTTCAAGACCCGGTTGGAACTAGAGCAGGATTAGGTGGAAGGGTTCAAGTAGAACATGCTGTGGCTAATTATGTCTTTCCCCGCCAATGGGAGTCTTGGCAGGCACACATATTGGATGCTGAAAACATTTCTGTGTCCTTTGGTATCCACCCCCATGTTGTTGAACTGGCAGAGCAGTGCCTTGACAGGTTTATGGAATTGGTAACGCATCAGCGTTGTGTAGCCATTGGGGAGGTTGGCATCGATCTCACCACCAACTGCAGATGCAACCCCTGACCCCTGTGTGAGGCCAGAGGAATGCAGGGAACGTTTGTTGAGGCTCCAGCAGGACTTCCTAGCAGATGCCCTAAATATGGCAAGAGATCTGGGTAAGCCGGTCATTCTGCACTGCAGGGACGATGAATCAGGTGAGGCAGCTAAACACACCCTGGCCATTGTCCGCATGATGGACATGACTCACCATGCCTTTCATAGGCACTGCTTCACAGGTTCGGTGAAGGAGCTCCACCAGTGGGAGATGGAATTGCCTGCGGTGAAATTTGGCGTCACTATGAGGTCAACTCAGGACCCGAATCTTGTGGCCAGGATCCCAGTTGAGCGCCTCTTGTTGGAGACGGATGCTCCATATTTACTGCCAGCCCCTGGTTGCAAGATGAATCATCCCTGGAACCTAGCATCTCTTGCTGCACAAGTCGCCTCTATCCGCAACACACCAGTGTCATTTATCCTGGAGATATGCAATAACAACGCCAGCCAGTTCTATCGATTGTGATTTTTTTTTTCTTTTCTCTACATGTCCATCAGTTATATAGTGTATTTTCTGTATATGTATATAATTACTTCAGAAAAAAGGATTTCTTTTATAGTAGTGTAAAAAGACATGTAAATTTTCATGATTACTCTATTTCTCAGAACTTGTATAAGTGAAGGGATTATGTCTCTCACCAGTACTTTGTTGAAAAGTAATCATGATTGGTTAGTATTTGTATATTTTCATATTTTTGTACGAGTTGGCATTTAAGTAAGTTTGTACAGTATTTGGGGGGTGGATTTTACACATAATTACGGACGTTGGTTAAATTCGCCAATGGATATCCTTGGCTCTACAAGGAGGGGAGGAGTGTGGTACCACAGCCCGACTCATCCGTGTACGACTTATCTAGAATAACATTGATCTCCTGACCTCCGTCTTGCCAGACGTCTTCGACATAGCCTGTCATACAGTTAGACATAATCTGGAGGGATTAGTCAGGTAATTCATCGACCATTTAGACACTATTATGACGTTATATCTAGGTAGCTCAGAGAATTTACTACAGTTGGAACAGTTTGATATTTTACGGACAGCCAGTGGCGTATATTCCATATATAGGCAAAAAGGCTGCTGTAGCTTACACATCATTTTACCCACTTTGTAAAAATTGAATATTTATACTGCAGTACTGTTGAAAAGGAGGGGGGGGGGGCCAGAACACGAGACAATTATTTTGTTTGATGTTAAATGCGAAAAGAATTACGAACACACCCGTGAAACGTAAACTGTTTTTGTAAAGGGCACGAGCTCTGTTATTGTTAATGTTTACGTTTCAGTGAGTTTGTTCAATTTGTTAAACACTGCACACATCACTGAGCACGGACTGACAAGTGAAAGTGCTAGGTTGTATCAATCAAATGCAACCCGAAATTTGTAGTTTCAATAATTGAGATGAAATTTCATGTGAATCCATGAAAACTGAGAAATTTGAAAAATTATCAAGGAAATTCGGATTAAATGTATTTATTGAATATTACGGATTTCATGTTTCCTTTTCACCAGCTCATTTCATGTTAATAAGTGATCAATAATAAGTTACAACTTTAATTTTATGGAGCAAGATATTTTTTTCCAGTCAGCAAAATTTATTTATATGCATAAATTTCATAACTTCTCTGTGTAAGAGTACTATTTTTAAGGACTGACTTTCAAATGACCTTGACTGAAATTCAAGGCTGAAGTTTTTGGATGTTAAAATAGTATACACAGTCTGAATAATGAGTATTCAAGAAATCAAGAATCTGCCATTACAAGAAATATGAAAAGAATCCATCCTTAAGAAAAAGAGAAGAAGATGGTGGAAGAAATGGAAAAACTTTGCAGATGGAGAGAGCTCAACCTTGACCTTTCATCTTTTTGTCTTAAAGCCACATTAATTTAAAGTTTAGCTTTTTAATCTTTATTTGCTTAAAAATTGGGTGGGCGGATTTTATTTTTTATTTTGTTTTTCTGCAAGCATCTACATATTAACGAAATATATGGAGATAACGAACAGTATTCAAACTCAAAAGTCCATTAAACAATACAAATATTGGAGCAGAGCAAACACAGACCTCTAAAACATCAGAGGTAGGATCAGGTGCCATGGAGGACTGAGCATCCCCTGCCGACCAGTCACACCCGCCGTGTGCTCCTGTGATGATCGGGAAACTACGGAAAAATCCATCGACAATTCAGTGTGTAAATAATGGCCTAACAATTAGTATGAAAAACGTCAGTCAGCATTTGACTTAATGATAGATTGTACTTGCTGACAAGGTCATTATATCGACCATAGAACTTACGAAATGAGACTGCTGATATAATACTCTACATTCCATTGTACAAAAATCGTTCTTCTCAAACAAACTTTATTTTAGTCTAATTGATCATATAGGTTTAAGTTGCAGACATATTTATCATAACAGCACATTTTAACAGCAAAATAAAACGAAATTATGACTTTAAACGAGACTGCTTATATTCTTGTTTCATCATCTTGTTTGTTAATAACCTACATCGATATCGTTTTAGAAATCGGTCATACGTAGAGCATGCTCTTGCGTATCGATTCAACTGAGAGATATAAACCCCGTATGCAGATGATAAAAGTATATTACTGCAAAAAATTTTCACATTGTAAATGCCAAATTGATATATATACATTTGATTGCTTATTCTTTTTAATGTGTACAGTAGATATTTTTTGTACAAAATATTTATCACAATGTAACTAGTTATAATTGTAACGGGGACCGTTACAGATGTTCCCCAAACGCTCCCTAACTCCCTTTTCATGTCTTATTCCCTGTAAGCTTCATTGAATAAGGCAATCAAGTATATTGGTTTTTTACGCATTACACGCGCGTGCACGTGCATGCGTGTGCAGAATGGCCATGTCATCTCGTCTATACTATAAATGCATCTTAATTCTGAGTATCGAAACATTTCTTCAAAAAATATTAAAGTTACGGCTATATCAAGTATATTGTTCATTTAAGCATTGCACGCGCGCGCACGTGCATGCATGTGCATGATGACCAAACTATCTTGTCTACACCATTAATATCTCTCCATATTATAAGTATTGAAGCATTTCGTCAAAAAGTATAAAAGTTACAGCTATATCAATTTTATAGGTCATTTTAGCATTGCACGCGCGCGCACGTGAATGCATGTGCATGTTGACCATATCATCTTTTCAACACTCTTAGTATCTCTCTATATTATAAGAATCAAAGCATTTCATCAAACAGTGTAAAAGTAACGGCTATATCAAGTATATTGGTCATTTTTCGCATTGCACGTGCGCGCACGTGCATGCATATGCATGATGACCATATCATCTTTTCTACCCTTTCATTATATTTCTGTTTTTTGAGTTTCAAAGTATTTCTTCAAAACGTTTAAAAGTTACGGTTATATCAAGTATATTGGTCATTAAACGCATTGCGCACGCGCATGCATGGTCTTACATTCAATGTTGATAGTAACATACTGTTGGAATCCATTATACCTATTTATATTCTAAATTTCATCCTGTTTTGTTGAGAACCAAGAAAGTTATAGCCATTTAAAGTTTAAGCCAATCAGATTGCAGCACACGTGCATGCGCGTGTTTTCATGATAATTCTTATATATTATATTGTACAACCTCCTAATGTATGACTATGTTCTAAATTTCAAAGTATTTTGTCAAAAAACAAAAAAGATACTGAGACTTTTGTTTCAGCCAATCAGAGCGAAGCGCACGTGCATGCGCGTGAGTTCATGCTGATTTGACCATGTCATCTTGTCTACTCTACTAATATATCCTTAAGTTATAAGTTTCAAAGCATTTCATCAAAAAATGTAAAAGTTACGGCTATATGAAGTATGTCAGTCATTTCACGCGCCCGCACGTGCATGCATGTGCGCGCAAAATGACCTTCGTTCCGCACATCTACACAACATGCCTATTAACCCTAAAAAGGTTTCAACTCAATTGGATGAGCAGTTTCCTAGAACACTCGCGGAACAAAAAGTACCGGAGAAGACATAAGAATAAAAAAGAATAATAATAATAATAATAACTAGATACTTATTGCCTAGGCAATAACAGGTCTTCCGTTTTCTTGACTTCTTCGAAAAAAAAAACAATCTTGCCAATAAGATTACTCTAAATAATTAACAAAAGTTATCTCGATGCTTTCAAAGATATGTAAATACAAATAAAAACAAACGGAATTACTTTCCTGTTTTCTTTATGTACTTCGTCGTGAACGAAAGTGCTCCAAACGTATAAAGTGTTCATTCTACACCTTAATTATTCACAACTGATCCTCCCTAAAAGTTTCCATGAAAAACTACTCATGTTTGAGACAACTTCCGGTTTTTCGGTTTGCACTTCCGGTGATTATAAATTGCATGGTTATGGTCTATCTAACATCCGCATTAGCCAAACATTTCTGTGAAAAGAAAAAAAACTATAACAATTCACTTTTCTGCATCGCTTCCTGTCACGACCGGAAGTGACGGCAACGTACGATTTGTACATGATGTAAATAAACTGAGGACTGACTATCAGTTCTGAAAGTTTTAGACTTTAGCAATGTACTGTTTCTGAGCAATTTGGTGAACAAAATCTCAATTTGAGGACAGAAAAAAAACCGACCGGAAGTGCATTTTCCTAAGATGGTTAACGACACACTAGACAATTGCAATCTCAATAACATATATAAAAATCATTTCAAAAAACTTTATCTATGAGCGATATTTTTGGGAAAGTTAAAAATCCCAATTACATAGTTTTCTCTTATAACCGGAAGTTGTCGTTTTTTGTTTCCAGTGAGAGCAACACATATAGAAACTGTGAAAGAGGTTCAATTATATGATGCAAGTTTTATTTCAAAAAAGAAAATTTGAAATTTTTTATTTCTTTGATCACTTCCTGTGACGACCGGAAGTGACGGCTGACGCTATTAACCCAAATGGTTTTGCCTACTCCTTAAGTTCTATTACTCCTATAAGTTTGGTGTCTTAATCTCTTACTGTTTTTGAGATCTCACTTGTACAAATTCTTATTTTGCGGACAGTAAAACACGCGACCGGAAGTGAATTTTACCAAGATATTTGACGTTACTCTAGACATTTGAAGTCTAAATAACATATTAAAAAATCATTTCAAACACTTAATCTATAAGCGATATTTATGGGAAAGTAAAATGCTCAAATTATGTAGTTTTTCGCTTATAACCGGAAATTGACGTTTTTGTTTCCGGTGGGACCAACATATTTCGAAACTTCGAAACAGATACAATAATGTCATGCAAGATTAAATCTAAAAAAGAAAAGTTGAAATTTTCGATTTCTTTGATCACTTCCTGCGACGACCGGAAGTGACGGCTGACAAATTTAAACATATTCTGCAAACCTTCTTGTCATGATCTATAATCCCTGAAACTTTGGTGACTTAATCTTTTACCGTTTCTGAGAAAACG